TAATCAAAGCAAAAACTACCATCAGACCCTAACATCCACAGATTTTCCCCCCGCGGGGCCTTCAGTTTCCCTTAAGGCTCTCTAACAGTTTGTATCTTCAGCCTAAATCATTCATAAAACAAGTAGACGGGACATGGATGTGAAAGAATGAAAATCAGAATTGCAGAAGAGCATTTTTAGAAGTCTTTCTCCTAAGCAAAGAGGCGCAAAGCTGAAACATTGCAAAAGGAGTTATGTTTTTCATATTTCCTGCTCATTGCTTTCAGTTTCCACATCAAAATGTTTGGCAGTTGCACTGTGTGTGATCTGGGTCATTTGCATTTGTCACGTAAAACTAGGCAAGCATAAATGACAATTACCTGTATTATTACATTTCCACTTCTCCAAGGAGAGTATTGCTCTAGCAGGCGCTAAGAATGCAAAAGCACTCGCTTGAAACAAGGGTAACCTGGTGGAAAAGGAGAGAAGAGAAGTTGATATTTCTTGCCGTTACAGCATTGTCTCAGGATACCAACTGTACTTAGGTAGTTACCCATCCTCAGAACTATCCTTTATCAGGTGGTTATTAACAACATGCAGTATGAACATTTCTCTTTGGGAGAGGAGAAAACACAACAACAACAAAAACCCAGACACACAGAAATATTAAGACATCGCAGGACCAAAGGCATGAAGTTATCAACGCAATGCCTATAAGAGATAATTGACATGTGGGTACCAGACATTGACCCAACACATTTTTGACCTAGCATCAAAACAGAGCACGAGGATGAACATTTTGATGCAATTAACAGCCAGACTGCTGAACATGTGGCATTTATACAGTCCTGCCACATTAAAAGCCCTTTGATAAAGGTAAGCAGTCCGCATACTCAATACTTTCCAGTTGCATGACTTGAAGTACAGTCATTTTAAGAGTCATCTTTAAGTGTATGTGTAAATAACTATTACATTGCTACGTGCTGATTAGACGTTCCAGGTCGCTGTCAACAATAAATACAAAAGCTGTAAGAATTTCAAGATGACATTCTTAGCGCTGGTGTTCACGCTTCCCAAAAGGTTTTTAAAAACTAAAGAGCATTGGCCTATACCAACTATGTATTTACTGAAAAAACTGTAGCTTGCATAACATTACAAATATTCAGATGTTACTTAACTGCAGAGGAGATGCACTTTGAACTATTTTGCAAATATTGTCATTAACGGATGGTAACACGATTCTCTTTAATAACCAACCTCAAACCATAGCGCATGGACCATTTAACGGCTCACGTGGCTCTACTTACCGCGCCAAGTTTATGGCTGTTTTACAGCCACCATGCAGCGCCTTAATGCCGGTACGAGCAACGGTAAAGGAAAAAGAACCAACTGTAGCAGATTCAGATAAGGATCAGAAAAAGCACAAAGAGCAAAAGAAAAGCTGCACGGAAAGAACTCTTAACATGCTTAATACAAAGATGATCAAAACAGAAGCATGTTACTAACAGCGGTTGTAAAAAGTCACATGCAGGAAGTTAAAACAGCTGAATTAACAGCTGGAAAGGAGTTTGGGCCACGAGCAATCTGGAAAGCAGACCCACATATTACAAGTTTTGAAAGCTATGTCTGAACTGCAAACTTCATAAACGCCATCTGAGCGTACTTGACTTGCATGCAGTTGACTTAAGTTT